AAAGTGGGCAGCGAACAACCAATATACCTGGCTCCACATGAACAAGTATATTAATAAATGCATCATCTTGAAAAATAAATATATATTTGCGATTTTACAGCTTTGAAAATAAATTCACCGAAAAGAGAACTCTTCTCTGAACCAATCTTTCGGATTTTACAAAGGATATTGAACTGAAATAATTTTACACTAGAACTCCTTATTTAAATTAAGCATATTTTGTGCGTTTGCTAAGTCGTTGGCTCATTTTTCATCTTGTTCATCTCTTTTGCAGCTCACATCATGTATAGCATTCTGCGCGTTTCTCCAGAATACCTTCAGACTAGACGCAAACATCTACAGAAGGGATTTAGTTAACATTAAAAACTAGATAGAATAACAACACAAAAGTCCTTCATCAAACGATCTATGTAATTTTTTCAACTTTTTTTCTAGTTAGAATCAAGATTTCACAGATTGAAATCGTGAGGCAATTGAGGCTAGACCACTATGGAAAACCTAGAAGCACTGGACGGCCGTTCCGTCCTAGTATGGGACTCCTCGGCAGTGCGCATCCACGATCCCGCACCCCGCGGGATTCGGACCAAGGACCTATCAATCTCGCGCCAGGCGCTTAACCAACTAGACCACTGAGCTAGCCGGCACCTGACGGTGTTAATGTCTAACTTCAACCAATCCACGAAGTTACGCCACCGTACACCATTGTCTTCAGTGAGCTGATATCTCGTGGATGCGCACTGCTGAGGAGTCCCATACCAGGGCGAAACGGCCGTCCGGTGCTTCCAGGTTTTCCATAGTGGTCTAGCTTCAATTGACTCACAATTTCAATCTGTGAAGTTTCTAAAATCTCCACAAACCCCTTCTGATAAAAATCAAGATTCACAATTAAAATTCTTGACGAAAACATATTGTTAATATTATTGGATTATGTGATGTAAAAGTGAAATTTTCTTTCTTTTACATTATACACTTTTAGTCTACGATATCTAATTAAATGATTAAACTATCAGTTATATGAATAACAGTTAAGATAATAGTTTACATTAAATAAATTGCAAAAATCCATTAACAATTACAATTATCTTGTAATTTTCAACTGTAAACGCAATTGGAAATTATAGTATATATGCTTAATCTGTTTGTATTAACAAATTACAACATAACATGTCTGTTTACTTTGATGTTAAAACGTTCGTTAAACACTAAGTTTGACGTAACTTATTATATTCATACGCATTCATTTTTTGCTAATTCATACTTCAAGCAAAGTGTAAAAATTGAGTAAATTTAAGAATACTGACAGAATTAAACAAAAGGCACATAAAATTACATAATGAAATCATATTCATGACTTGAAAATCACTTATAGGAATGTATTCCTAACCATGCCAAAATATCACTCTACAGATATACATATAATTTATAACTTCCTCCTTTAACATTATTAATATGCATGACAATACCACAGAGATTATACTTAATATGAAATAGTTATAGCAGCATGATAAAAAACATACTAACATAATTATACGTCACAAGTAGTTATAAGTCAAGACTGACTAACTGAAATCATGAACCGAGCTAATTTAGAACACCATTCAAAACCTGATAGCACTAGATAGGGGTTTACTCCTAGTATTAAAATCCTTAGCGGTATGCATTCACAACTCCACATGCGGGAATAGAGCCCAAGAATAATATTTATCATGAGTACTTCGGACTATATTGACAGCTTTTATTAAGTTGTATACTATTTAATATTTGTCATAAAATGTAGTATTGATATGCTATAACAAAATAGTGACTTTAGTTTTCAGTCTGTCTAAATGATAAACGAAAGTCAATGGAGAAATACTAATTGATAATCGCCGTTAAACTAATAGAAGTTATCTTTCAATGTCTGTCGAGTTTTATCTTATGGATAAAAGATTAATTTAACTCACTTAGTTTTTAGAAAATTTGATTGAATAATATTTTTATTTACATAAATTTATACGAAGAGAATATCTAATGTCAAGTAGTTTGTATGAATATTAAATGAATTACTTTTATTATACACAATTATATACATAAATGAACTTTTGAGACAGTAGAAATTTGCAGCTTAAAAGATAATTCCAGTTAAGATAAACTCCTCGAACTCCGTGACATGCAAGTAAATTAAATGTGTTAACCACGTGTAACGTAGTTCTAGTAGCTCATTCCTTTTTTGAATTACTAATGATATAGACCTAAAAGGTAATTAAAGCTTCATGTTTAGAATATTCGACTCAGAGAATTTAAATGCACCAAAATACTTAAGTATATACAGTGCTCTATAAGTCATTCACTGGAAAAGAGAATGATGTATACACCGTAGTATTTAAATGAAATAAGTGTTTATCTTTTAATAAACTTTGAGGGATAAACTTCGATACAAACCATCGATTACAGATTCGTTTACCCGCTCTCCAACAACACTTCATGTGAGGGTTATCCGTAACATCGGGTCTTTTGTGACCCGATATCTGAATCCAGTAAGATCGGACAAATAATAGTTATCGAACGATTGCTGTCGAAATATACATTCTGACTATTCTCGTATGTAATAATCGACTTAAATCGCGTTAACGAATAACGGAATTAAATAAGACAAATAAGAGAATGGATTTTTGAATACGTATATTTTGTACATATACTGATCTGGATAAACAATCAGAGGGACGAAGTGAGGAGAAGAGAACGAAGCGAAACGACGTGGAGTGGAAAAGGCGTGTGATCCAACTCAATTAATCAATAGTGAGTCAATATTTCTAGCCAGACAAAAATATGTTACGGACATTTAATGAGTAAGATAAGAAATGCAACCACATATGCTTACATAAAAACAGTCAAAGTTCATAAGCTAATAATTAACAGGGTCCCAACTTGACTCAAGAAGAATGAATAGACTGGCCTGTCCGGAAGCTAGAATAAGCTACGTGGGCTTAACATAGCACTACAGGCCCTCTAAACAAGTTTAATACTAGGTGGAAAATTTACCCACGTCATCTAGGATTGAATAATTTGTAGTAGAATTATTATATGATTAAAGACTATCTGATATCGCCTTAGTTTGTAACATTAAAGAAGGATTAAACTAATAGATAAACATACCTTTAGAAAACGAGTACGCTTAGGAAAGATTTTCTCACGTTTTGTATTAAATTTTAAAACATTCGAACTAAGTTCCAGAAAATGGAATTCAAAATATGTATTAATAGAGGTGTCATTTTGATCAAATCAATCTTTTTCTTCTTGTCCGAACTAGTTTAAGGTTACGTTATCTTTCGCACATCAAGTATGCTATTTATAATTGAACTGAACAGACTTAAACGATTATATTGCTGTTTCTGCTAACACTAATCCTCATTTCTCTCTGATTCGATTACTTTCAGTATGTTAATTATACTACTTAATATTGCTCAGTAACCAATTTTATTTCCCCTCATTTCAGAATACAGTGTAGCATTTCAAAATATTTACATAAATTTGCAATATTCAGATTATCAATCACTGTAATTGTAAATTCCTAGTACTTATAATAGTTAGATCCAATTTCATATGTTTACTGAACCATTGTATAACTGAATCTGTTTTGATTGAGCAAAAATCGAACTGTTAACAGTTTCAACTATACCTTTGCTTAACCACATCGAGAGGTGCTCGCAAGCTCGAAAATACAAATTCCTAAAACACCTGTCAACATAACTTGCTCCACAAGAGCAGTAGAATTGATAGATACAGAAAGAAGTGAATAGTCTAGGTAATTTCTCTTCCAATATCGAAGTGTTCATCGGATGTGTAGAAAACAATAGTTTTACATTACCTGCATTAAAAGTTCTTTAAATTGCTCTGCGCAACTATAGTATTAGCATTTCACCGGGCGCACCGCCTCTTAATTGTAAACACATAAACAGAGGCTTTTTGATCACAGTTAGGCCTTCCTTATACTCTCCTTTCTTGGTTAAATGTTTATTTATAAATTTCTCCGTATATCTATCTTCTTTCAAGGTAGTAGGCAATATCTTTTTTTTCCTTTTTAATTGCATCTAGGGAGCATATGGTCTTGATCTATGGTGAAATGTCTCAATCAGTTTCGTTTTATATTGTAGAGGAACAAAACTAGGAAAATTTTCATATAGGCCAGTTCAAGTAGTTTTCTTGTTTAAATTTCTTAGTGAATCATCTATTCCCCTTGTAAGTAAAACATCTGGAAAGAATATTTTATCTCTTTTCCCGTCCATACACGTGAATTTTATAGACGGATGAACTTTCTTAACTCACTTGAGTATTTTCATACGGTCAGTATGGTCGTTACAAAGGACGAACATATCGTCCATATACCAGCAGTAAGATGAAAACTTGTCAACCTACTGCACGAGTGAACCATTTTCTAGTTTAGCGAGAAAAATGTCAGACAATATGGGACCAAGTGGTGAACCCATCGCTACACCATATATTTGTCTATATATTTCACCACTGAATTTGAAGTTTACGTTCATAGTACATTTGTAGAATATATCAGTGAACAACTTCGAGAACAAAAAATAGAAACTACAATCTTTGTGGAGATCATCAAGGAACTATCAATAACACTACCACTACTTTGATATTCACATTGATAGTTCCATCTTGTTGTTTTGATGTGATGTAGTAAACTTGAGCTAACATATACTTGTGTGACGTTCTACTTTGCTTGTAACCGACTGTCTAGTATAGCACTATACAAAGTAGTATTTCGTTCACCAAAACAATCTAAAATCATCTCATAAATTGAAATTATAAAAATTATTATCACTATCAACATACTTGTATTCCAGAGTAATATTCAATATACTCAATAAATTATCTGTATTTTAATTACCAGGAACACAGTCTGATAATCCATTTTTTTCTCTCTCTCTCTCTCACACACACTTTCTCTTTCATGAATAACAACAATAACACTTCATATATATTTATGTAAATACATATTCATACTACAAAAAAATAAACAAGTCAATATTGTCATCTTCGTGATTTTTTAGCTTGAATTATAAATCTTTCAGGTATACAATCAACAGAATGATTATTTAAATGATCCAATATAAATTGTTTATTACTTTCAGTTAATAATTCACCGCTTGATAATTTATAATCTGATTCACACCACTGTTCACGTAGTTTAAATAAAACTGGTCGAATTAATTTATTATGTATACCCCATTGATCAATAATTAATGTACCACTGACTGGAAACCTTGGTGGTTGCCATGATAACCATCCATCAATAAATGATTTATCTTTGCCTAAATATTTTAACAATTCAGTTATAGCTGGTTTTATTTTATTCGGTTCAAATGATAATAAATATTCTTTTTGATAAAATTTCATTTCATTTTTATCATTTTCAATAGATAAATTAAAATAATAATCGCGTTTATGTAATATGTACAATAGAATTGTTAAATCTAGATTAGATAAACGTAAACGTTTGTCTAAGTTCTCAACCTGGAAGCAAATAACAGTGAAATGGGACAAAAATGAAATAAAATCAAAAAATAAACAAACACATAAGTATTATGATCTTAGTGAAAATTATAATAAAAAACAAAAAGGATTAAATGACTCTAAATTAGGTAGTAAATAAAAACAAAATATACATGACAATGTCTCCTCACCTACATATAAGATGGTGGGTTTACTTAATTAAAAAATATTAACCTACTTGCAAATATAACCAATGGAATCCTTAGAAGTGAGAAGTAAATTGTTCAGAGGTGAGGAAAGCTGTTATGAGTTAGCCAGCTAGTCAATCATAAGTAACGTTGAATATAGTACATGTGGTACATCGGTTTAAGTTGCCACACCTCATCACCACAGCGAGATAAAATTATCAAGAAAAAACACCAGAGTAGTAGAAGTATTAGCAGTATCAGTGGTAGGAGAAAACATTAAGCACAGACAATATAATTAAAGAATAAATCTGTGGAAGGAAACATATAAAACTACCTTGAAACTTAAGATCTATGGAAATACAAAAACTGAATGGACATGCACGACTGACATCGATTCTAAACCACATCATTTAGTGTCTCCGAACCTGGGGTCACAGTAACCGCACAAACCTCAACCATATATATCGATATGATTCAGTCCAGCTGTCAATAACTTCATGAACTGATGCAGCATCTTGGTTTAACTGCCATTAGCTTCCTTCCAACTTACTCCTACTCCAGCTAACATTACCCATTGAGGTAGATGGTGGTTAGGAATGTGTGACACGTATCCTAGTTACCTCAATCGCTGCAGATTCCTAGCATGACCAACAGATTTACCTTCTTGTACCCTGAGTGCGAACTCGCTATTGTTCACCAATTTAATCCAAGATACGTGAACAATTCTTTAAATAAAAAACCTGAAGTTTAAGCATATCTTTTACCATCAAAGACTGTGTTTTAGAGCAATGAAATAGAGCAGAGTAAACCACTGAGTAGTATACCGCCGCTTTGCTTGAGAGATCAACACCTCACCTACACTACAGATGATGCAAGTTGGCAAAATCCTAGAGATTTTAGGATGGATTCCAACTATACTTTCGACCATTAATTTTAGATGTTGTAACAGAGCGACTTTGAATCGAAATTGTAATGAATTTTAGCCCAAAGTTTGAACGAATTGAATTGTGATAACAAATGAAATTGTTTCTTTGTTTCAAAAATGACTGAACTTACTTCAACAGGCGATGTCATAATTGCAGCTAAACAAGTAATCGGGTTTGGTGCAGAAGAAAGTATACCTCTATTCCAGATTTTATCTAATTCTTTAAAGTTAGGGCTTTCAGGAAGACCTAAGTGAACAAATAGCCCAGCATCTGCCATCCGACGTAAAAGGAATGGAGTTGAAGGGTATAACAGAATTTTCTTCAATTCACTGAAACAGCGTTCACCAGATATTATTGACAAACCATTAGCATTTGAGGCTATAGTCTATTATTATTAATAAACAATATTGTGATTTAAAAAACTCAAAACTCAATAGTTGTAACAAGCATACAAGCATATGAACTATAAAAAATCACATATTGGAAAATGTTATTATTCGTTAAAAATCCCACCAGTATTGTCGAAAATTGAATCTATTTGGAACATTATTCCAGAAACAGAATAAAAAAGAAAGTTTGATTCTATACTAATGAAACATGATTAAGTTGCCTTGTAGAATAATATCTATCATAGAGGCTCCAACTCACGTCTTAAAATCAGTTCAGACGAGAAGTCTTCTAATATGCCATGAGGTCTAAATGAACACAAAATACATAGCATGCTTATCACACTAACTTATCTTCTGACTCAAATGCTCCGTCCATTGAACAAAAATAGAAATGTAGTCAGTACACTAGCTGTTGACAGACACTATCGTTAAGTCATTTTGGAGCGGCTTATAATAGTTTACATGTTAATTGTTGTTCGCAAAAAATCAGGGACTTGGATTACTGGCAGCATAATAGTCACCACTAGCGATCCAAATGTACTATTCTCTGTATTAAAGTCGCATGACACGTTCAACAAGTTGTTGGTTAAATGCTAGATATTGATGTCTTTTTGAACACAGTCCCTGTTTAATATCCATCTTCAGGTGAATGAGACTAACAGATTATTTCGCAACTTCTAGCACCTTCGACGCAGTTGAATCCATCTTAGTGTTATATGTAGAGTTTCTTTTTTTTCAATAAGACGTCTTCAATGTTAGACTATTACTACTACTGCTAGTTCCTAAGGAAAGGGGTGCACAGTACATCTGTAAATTGCTTGGGATATTTAATATTCATAATCTAAAATAAATGGTTGGAAAAGCTTGACGTTAAAATTGTACATTTAATATTGCCCCACTTTTTTCACTTAACAGCTGAATAGTCATTTAGAGAACAAAAAAATTAGGTATTTCTGAAACGCCAATATGAGTGGTATTAAGAATACTCTCATCCATCTATTTTTGGGGGAGTTTGTATCGCGTACCTTTGTCACAGCTCCAACTAAAATTTCTCAAATTTTGTTGTTAATCCTGTTATCTGTAAATTCATGCTGGTCACAACTAGTGGGGAACGTTGAAATAGAATGAATTAATCTTATTATACAAGCCGTTTATTGTCATTACTTCGTTCAAAGCTACAAAGAGAACTAGACGCATGAAAAATTCTCGGATTTAATTTTTTAAATTTCTAATGAGAATGAGATGGCAACTATGGAAATCAGGGTAGACGCAGAGAATGAATACTCTACCGTTAATTCAAAACATGTACTGACCCTAATTTAGTGACTTATTAAAAACCAAATATCAATAAAGCTGTTCCATATCTGACATTTTGATACTCTGACAAAACCCAGATGACAGATAAGATAATTTATAGTGTTCAGTATAACTCTGAACTTTCCCAAGTAAAAATACTTTGATAATTCATAAACAGTACATATACTAAGGGAATATAAGTATGTTACCAAAGTTATTAAACTCATATTTAAAAACGAAATGAATAATCCCTACCAGAAAGAAAACGTAAAGTTGTTAAACGATGCCACTAAAAGACTGAAATGTTACAAATATTCACTCGAAAAAGTGGTCCGTACCTTCAACACATCTTCATCATGCCTATCATATGTGTCTTCTGTTGACAGACGACCATGAAATCGGAAATATCTTAGCATTCTTAAGTAATCCTCTTTTATCCTAGCATCTGGATCCCCTACAAATCGTATGCGATGATTTTTCAAGTCATCGCAACCGTTAAAATAATCCCATAAATGTCCTAACACTTTTTGTTTATTACTTGTATTATTTTCATTTGCGGAAGAATCTGTTGTTGCTTCATTAGCCTCATCAAATAACCCCTGCATATCAACACCTAGAAACATCGAATTCACTGTAAGATCTCTTCTTTCAGCATCTAACTTCCAGTCATTTGTAAAGACAACTTCACTATGCCTTCCATCTGTGACAACGTCAATACGTAGAGTGGTAACTTCAAAATTTTCCTGGAAAAAGAAAACATTTATTTTAACTTAATTTCATCTAAATTTGTAGAAATAGATATAGGTTCATATGCTCAGCTAGAATATTTATCCGTTTCATGAATTTTGTTGACAATATTACTTCGACCGAAATGTATAATGTATTCACTGTTTAGTCTTTTTCAATCATTCCGATTCCTTAGCGATTTCATCTCCTTGTGATATGGTGTGGTAACTTGGGTGGATGGGCATTTATTTCAGGTCCTAATGTTGGTTACTACTAGTTAACTGACCAAAAACCCATATTTAATCCATCGATGTAAAAAAAAGTTCCGTATCCTACTATACAGTGCCCCCGAATGCCCTGGTACGGCCGAGAGTGGGGTGAGTCCGCTCTCCCTCTCGAAATACTCTCACACGGCCGCGCGTATACAGCCTCTGCCAGGGAAGTCCTACTCATTGCCTTCTCGTGGCGGGGGTGTTGTTTACGAAAATGAGAGGACGAAAAGCGAATGTCCGGCGCTTTAACCGGATCACAAACCAATGGTGCACATGGGCTCCAGTATCCTGCGGGAACAAATGGCGTATGAACCAATCGTTGGTCACCGGCTACCATGGGATTGCATCTCCTTACGATGCTCCACTGCCTTGTGGGTTAGACCTTTAGGTCAAAGGCTCGGGGAGTGGCCCCCTAAGAAAACCACCTGCTTCGGTTTGGGCACCCGGGCAGTATCACAGCCCACACACAAACGATGAACTCTATGTCTTTGGCAACTACTTTTATCGCTCCGAAAAACAATCAATTGATTCAAATAATTATCATTACAATTATTGTCATTATTAATACTATTATTATTACTATTATCGTTATTATTATTATTATTATTATTATTATTATTTCCCACATTATTCACCCTCTTTTATACTTATACAGCGGCTCGTCTTTGGTGGAAATCCGACTGTATCTAAACGTTCTCGAGTCACTGTCCGGTTGAAAATTGTATGTTACCACCGAATATGAGTACTGAAGCAGTTTTTCTGAAACCACGTGCACCATTCAAACTGGCTGCCTTCAACGTTCGCACATTTATGCAGGTCGGACAACAGATAGGGCTGGCTATGTCTTTGGAAAGTCTTAATATTGATGTTTGTTGTCTATCCGAGACCCGTATTCAAGACTCTGGCGAAGTACTACAAATTCGATCTCCATCTGTCGCTTCGAAAAGCTTGTTTTACGTGCGCTTATCCGGGGACCCTGTGGCATCTTCGTCTGGTCTTGCTGGCGTTGGTGTCGCACTAAGCGCTAGAGCTGAGGCAGCACTAGTCGATTGGATCCCCATTAACAGTCGGTTATGTGCTGTTAGATTAGAAAGTTCCATCAAAGTGAGAAGAAATCGGCGTGAGAAACGATGTCTTTTCGTCATCTCCGCCTATGCCCCGACAGATTGCAGCCCGGATGCAATCAAGGATGAGTTTTACCACCAGTTATCTGTTCTTCTCCAGAAAGTGCGTTCGACAGATATTGTAGTACTAGCCGGAGACTTGAATGCTCAGGTCGGGCGTCTAGGCACAGAAGAGAGTCGTTTAGGTGGCCGATGGGGACTCGTTGGTCGCAGGTCAGATAACGGGGACCGTCTACTGCAACTGTGCACAGACCACAACCTGTTTCTGGCTAGCACTAACTTTCGGCACAGTCATCGCCGATGTGCCACCTGGCGTCCTCCCTCTGCATCTCAAGCCTGGACTCAGATTGATCACATCGCGATCAGCTACCGCTGGCGTGGTTGTGTAAAGACTGCCGCTCCTTTTGGAGTACCTATCTGGACTCTGACCATGCCTTGGTCTGCGCCAATCTTGCCTTACTTTTCAGTGGACAACGAAGTGACCGCCACCAACGGATTGATGTTAGCAAGCTGGTTGCAACTTCTGTTGCAAGTAAGTATCGAACCGAGCTAGCCTCTAGGCTAGCTACCACTCCACCGAAAAGTATAGATGAGCATTGGTTGCAATTGCATGACGCCATGAAAATGGCGGGAACAGTCAGTTGTGGGTTTGCGAAACGTCCCGCTTTTAAGCACTGGGTTTCTTCTGGTTCCTTACAACTCATTGAAGCCCGTCGGTCTACTCCGGGTGACCGTGAGTTTGACCATAAACGAAGGATGTTACGTAAGGAAATTGGGCAAAGCTTGCGTAAGGACCGAGAAGCCTGGTGGTCGAAGCGTGCTAATGAGCTGGAAGCAGCAGCTGCATCTGGTAACTACCGGAAGCTCTTCCAGCTCATCCGAGCCACTGGCAGCAAGAAGTCTGGTGTGAGTGAAACAATCTGCGAGGATGATGGGATGCCAATCACTAACATCCATCGACGTCTTGGACGATGGGCAGAATTTTTCGAAGGGCAGTTCAACTGGCCTGCTGCTCCGGCAACATCGGTCAGACTGTCCTGCCCTCCATGGCCGGTGACGACTGATCCACCAAACGAGGAGGAAGTCCGCAAGGAACTCCAACTCTTGAAGCGTTACAAATCACCTGGCCCAGATGACTTACCTCCGGCTCTTTTTAAAGATGGTGGTGACTTTTTGACTAAGGAATTGACGACGTTGTTTACAAAGGTTTGGGAACTAGAGAGTGTACCAACGTCATGGAATGAGTCGATAGTTGTCCCTATCTTTAAAAAGGGTTCACGTCGTTCCTGTAACAACTATCGGGGGATAAGTCTACTTCCGATTGCGTCCAAGCTATTGGCTTCCGTCATACTTCGTAGGTTGTTCAAAACCCGAGAAAGATTGACTCGCGAGGAGCAGGCTGGGTTTCGTTCTGGTCGAGGATGTATTGATCATATCTTCACCCTCCGCCAAATGTTAGAACACCGCCATACTTATCAAAGGCCAACAATCGTAGTGTTTCTTGACATCAGGGCTGCCTTCGATTCGTTGGACAGGACTGTTCTCTGGGATTGTCTATTGAAGAAGGGTGTGCCTGAGAAGTTTATTAACATCCTAAAAGCCCTATATAAAAACACCTCAGGCAGAGTGAGGGCATACAACCACCTCTCTCCATTGTTCCATTCGAGCAGTGGGGTTAGGCAGGGTTGCCCAATCTCACCATTCCTCTTCAACTTTGCCATCGATGACATTCTGGAAACAGCTCTGATGAATGTAAGTAATGGTGGTGTGGATCTGTTGCCTGGAGAAAGACTTCTCGACCTTGAGTATGCGGACGATATTGTCTTACTGTGCGATAATGCCCAAGGCATGCAATCCGCACTTAATCAGTTGGCAATCAGTGTCCGTAGGTATGGTATGTGCTTTGCACCTTCGAAGTGCAAAGTACTTCTACAAGACTGGCAGGATTCCAATCCTGTACTCACCCTGGATGGTGAGCAGATAGACGTAGTCGAGAAGTTCGTGTATCTGGGTAGCTGCATAAGTGCTGGTGGGGGTGTGAGTGATGAGATCAATGCACGTATAGTGAAAGCCAGAGCGGCTTATGCCAATCTGGGCCATCTTTGGCGCCTTCGTGATGTTAGTCTGGCTGTAAAAGGTCGGATCTACAACGCGTCGGTGAGAGCAGTTTTGCTCTATGCTTGTGAAACCTGGCCTCTCCGAGTTGAGGACGTTAGACGACTCTCTGTGTTCGATCATCGCTGTCTCCGAAGGATTGCTGACATTCAGTGGCAACACCATGTCAGTAATGCAGAGGTTCGGCATCGTGTGTTCGGGCACAGAGATGATAATTCAATTGGTGTCACCATCTTGAAACACCGACTTCGGTGGCTTGGACATGTTCTCCGAATGTCGTCCCAGAGAATTCCACGTCGTGCATTATTTGCCGACTCTGGGACTGGTTGGAAGAAGCGGAGAGGTGGTCAGTGCATGACATGGTGTCGTGGCATGAAAGAAAGCTGCAAAGGACTGGCTTGTGTTGGTCCTTCACGACTCCCTGGTTGGGGTCTGAGAGATGGTGCTACACAGTGGCTAGAGACGTTATCAGATATGGCTCAGAATAGAAGCCAGTGGCGATCCTGCTGTAACCTTCTTTTACTTTCTTCATAAAAAGTGGTTCTGTCTCCCTTACCTGAAAGATTTCTTCCGATTGTACCTTTGCGTTCCCTGATTACTAGCACATTACCTTACACCAATCTCTTCGTTATTGTTCTCTCTTTTTTTGTTGCGCTCCTTAGCTTTTTTTTTCTTTCTTTGTGTTCCTCTCGAATTTTCATTGTTTTGTGTGGCGCATATATATTGGCGCTCTCTTGTACCAATATTCATGTGTCCAAATAAATAAATAAATAAATAACTACTATACAGTGTGACTTACAAGGGTGGTACACCATGGATACAGATGAAAAGCAATTAGTTTAACGAATTATTAGTTATGATAGCAAGAATGTTTAATTCAGTCTGAGAATTACAAGAATATTGTGGTGTATGTAAAGTTAAGCTTCATTTGAGAGTTCTCTGATGGTTAAGTTTGAAAACAGAATATCAAACAAAGTTCATTGCAACATACCTTTTATTCAGTTACATCACATACCAACCGAATATCGATCTTTGTAGAAAAAAAAGTACTGCTAAAATGAGAATTTAGTGGCATTGTTGTGCAAATTTACTAACCTATGACAACTCAAACAAATTTAGAGCTGTACGTATTTATGATAGGGACATACTGTAGCTAGAATTTTTTTAACAAAGTTGAGAAGCATGAACAGATAGGCATTTGACCATCAAATATCTGACTGGTAAGACTGCTTCTAGACTTGGAACCTTCTTAGTAAACTTTTATACGGTTTGAGTTTATTACGGACCCATGACTTTTAAAAAATAAGCCAGATAATGCACTGGAGTTAACTTAACCAAAAGATGGGTGTTATGTCTCATAACCTGGAACTATTAACGACTAAGACCAATATATAGGTACTTTACCTTATTTATATACCCAAAAATATTTTTCAATGCAACTCAGTAACTACATACAGTTGCATGTACTAGCATCCGAAGATAACTTATTTAGGCTGTGGTTAGATCAATCAGAAATGAAATGTAGTTGACGGTAACTATGACGTTTTTATTCGCTAGTCGTCTAAGAAATTCTGTATTTTTAACTGTGTTGAAATGCGCTGCTCTGTGTGTATCAGGAACCTACATTTCTTAACTGTGGTTACATTGGATTTAGCCTTTAGTAATTTAGGATAAGCTGACTGGTAACATCAGTGATGAAAGCAAGAATGACAACCATGTTAATATCAAGCTTCTGTTAAACTTATCTATGAGCCATTCAAATTCGCCAGGAAGTGACAAACGTTTATAACTACCATCAATAATATTTATAAGTATTATTGCGATCCCAGATCCCTTTACAGAGGACTGGGGAACCATCCAAATGTTTCTTTAGATCAAATTTCAATCTGATGTAGCTCCTCCATCAAGCAACTGTTTATGTACTAGGCTTTGAACCACATACGCTTCGTATGAAGACTCATTAAATAACTCGGGTGCCCAAACCGAAGTAGACAGATCAAGGTCCTAATATATATCTTAATTGTGGGAGTCAAATCCTTTAACCAACAAGCCTAAACTTCTGGTTACTTAGTACTTACTTACTTACTTACTTACGCCTGTTACTCCTCGTGAAGGAGCATAGGCCACTCACCAGCATTCTCCATCCAACCCTGTCCTGGGCAATCCTTTCTAGCTCCGTCCAGTTGTAATTCATCCTTTTCATATCTGCTTCTATAATCCGACGCAATGTGTTCTTTGGCCTTCCTCTTTTTCGCCTCCCTTCAGGGTTCCAAGTTAGGGCTTGCCTCGTGATGCAGTTTGACGGTTTGCGTAATGTATGTCCTATCCATTTCCATCGTCTTTTCCTAATTTCTTCTTCAGCTGGAAGTTGGTTTGTTCTCTCCCACAGAAGGCTATTGCTGATGGTATCCGGCCAGTGGATGTTGAGTATCTTGCGTAGGCAGCTATTTATAAATACTTGTACCTTCTTGATGGTGGTTGTTGTAGTTCTCCAAGTTTCAGCTCCATACAGTAGAACTGCCTTGACGTTCGTATTGAAGATTCTCACTTTGATATTGGTTGAAAGTTGTTTTGAGTTCCATATGTTCTTCAATTGTAGGAATGCGACCCTTGCTTTGCCGATCCTCGCCTTTACGTCTGCATCTGAACCTCCTTGTTCATCGATGATGCTTCCTAGGTATGTGAAGGACTCTACATCTTCCAGAGTTTCGCCATCAAGAGTGATTTGATTGCTGTTCTGCGTGTTGAATTTGAGGACCTTGGTTTTCCCTTTGTGTATGCTGAGGCCTACTGATGCAGAGACTGCTGCTACACTGGCTGTCTTCATCTGCATCTGTTCGTGTGTACGTGATAGGAGGGCTAGGTCGTCTGCGAAGTCCAAATCGTCTAATTGATTCTGAGTTGTCCATTGTATGCCGTGTTTTCCTTCAGATATTGAGGTCTTCATAATCCAGTCGACCACCAGAAGAAAGAGGAAGGGAGAGAGTAAACAGCCTTGTCTGACTCCAGTCCTTACTTGGAATGCATCTGTCAGCTGTCCTCCATGCACTACTTTGCACTGTAGTCCGTCGTATGAGTTCCGGATAATGTTGACAATCTTCTCAGGAACTCCGTAGTGTCGAAGAAGTTTCCATAATGTCCTCCTATCTACACTGTCGAATGCCTTTTCATAATCAATGAAGTTGATGTATAGTGATGAGTTCCACTCCACTGATTGTTCGACGATGGTCCGTAGTGTTGCAATTTGGTCTGTGCACGACCGATCCTTACGGAATCCAGCTTGTTGATCTCGAAGTTGGGCGTCTACTGCATCCTTCATACGGTTCAGCAACACTCTGTTGAAGACTTTCCCTGGTATTGACAGTAGTGTAATGCCTCTGTAGTTTTCACATTTGCTCAGATCTCCTTTCTTTGGAATCTTGACGAGGTGTCCTTCTTTCCAGTCCATTGGCACTTGTTCCTCCTCCCAAATCTTTTTGAATAGAAGGTACAGCATGCTTGTGGTTGCTTCGATGTCTGATTTCAGTGCTTCAGCTGGTATGTTGTCGGGTCCTGCTGCTTTCCCGTTCTTGATTTGTCTGACGGCCATTCTAATTTCTTCCGTCGTTGGTGGGTTGACATCTATAGGAAGATCTATGTGTGCTGCTTCGATGTCCGGTGGATTCATTGGAGCCGGCCTATTCAGGAGTTCCTCGAAGTATTCCACCCATCTGTTACGCTGATGTTGAATTTCGGTGATTGGCTTGCCTTCTTTGTCTTTGACCGGCCTCTCTGGTTTACTGTATTTCCCTGCTAGTTTCTTCGTTGTATCGTAAAGCTGTTTCATATTTCCTTCTCTAGCAGCTTTTTCTGCCGTCGTTGCTAGTTCTTCCACGTATTTCTTCTTGTCGGCTCTAATGCACCTCTTCACTTGTTTGTTTGCTTCTATGTATTCAGCTTGTGCTTGAACTTTCTCTGCTCGTGTTCGGCTGTTGTTAATTGCTGCCTTCTTGTTCTTCCTTTCTTTGATCTTGTCCAGTGTTTCTATAGAGATCCATTCCTTATGATGGTGTTTCTTTAGGCCCAGAACCTCTTGACACGTTGAAGTTAATGCTTCCTTGATGCCTTTCCAGTTGTCCTCCATACTAGTTTCTTCTTCTTTCAGTAGATCTTGTAAGGCTTGGAACCTGTTGTTGAGAGCTATCTTGAATTCATTGAGCTTGTCAGTATCTCGAAGGAAGGCTGTATTGAACCTTTGTAGTGCTGTTGGTCCACTTGTCCAGTTCTTTTTTAGCTTCAGTTTTAAATTGGCTACAACTAGGTGGTGATCTGAAGCTACGTCAGCACCTCTCCTGGTTCTTACATCTTCCATTGTCCTTCGGAATTTTTTGTTGATGCAAATATGATCTATTTGGTTCTCTGTAGTGTGGTCCGGTGAGATCCATGTAGCCTTGTGTATACGCTTGTGTGGAAATATTGTGCCTCCTATGACCAATTTGTTGAATGCACATAGATTTGCAAATCTTTCTCCATTTTCGTTTCTCTGTCCCAGTCCATGTCGTCCCATGATATCTTCATATCCGGTGTTGTCTATTCCGACTTTGGCATTTAGATCTCCCATCAGAATAGTTAGGTCCTTTCTTGGCATTTCTCAATGATTGACTGTAGCCGCTCGTAGAACTGATCTTTAATGTCGTCGTTGCTATCATTGGTGGGTGCATAACATTGGATAATATTCATTAAGATCCCCTCCTTCTTTGTTTTGAATGATGCTTTGATGATTCTGGATCCGTGAGACTCCCATCCTACAAGTGCATTTCGTGCTACTTTGGACAGCATAAGAGCGACTCCCTGAGTGTGTGGAGCATTGTCCTCCTCGTGACCGGAGTATAGCAGCATCTCTCCCGTAGCTAGCCTTTTCTGTCCAGCTTGGGTCCAGTGGGTTTCGCTGATTCCCAGTACTGCTAAGTTGTATCTCCTCATTTCCATTGCTATTTGACTGGTCTTCCCGGTTTCCCACATTGTTCGAACGTTCCATGTACCTATAAAAATTTTTGCTCTGGTTGTTAGAAGGGGCATCGGCCTCGTGGCTTCCGAAGGAACTCGGCTTTCACCATGAAGCGTCATAATTCTTCTAACTGAAGACCTTCTAACTCCCAGGGCAGAGTTTAAATGGTTTGAATAATTTTTTCTGGTAAGCGTTTTTTTAGCGAGTTAGTTTTCTACGGGATGGGGACGCTAACCCCATGCCCAACCCTCCTCCTTTACCCGGGCTTGGGACCGGCAGTAACCCTATTAGAGCTACAGGCGGAGTTCTGGTTACTTAGTAATAAACATATATGGTGATAGGTATGAGAGATAATGATGTCCAGGCAGAAAATGAAAGACTAAAGTTGTATCACCTAGTTACAAAATATTAATGGAGAACTTTTGTATCTACAAAATATATCAATTCATACTAAACCTATTTATAGGTAAGACAAGTGAAAATACGTTAAATAAACATTTCATGTGAATGTAACTATACCTTATCATTAATTCTGGCTGTAACAGTTCCATGTGATTCTCCATTTCTATTCAGCATTCGAATTCCTTCCTTGGAAAACATTTCACACATCTGAGGTGGAGTAGCGTTTGTTGCGAAGTCAATGTCATGTGGAGAAATTCCTAGTAAAATGTCACGTACTGCGCCTCCGGCGATACGTAGCTCAAACCCATACTTGTTGAAAATTTTATGTAAAATGATGTTCTCTTTAGTATATAACTCAGGAAATGGTGTTAAATCTATTGTGTCCGTAGTAAGTGGACGTCCCATTGCAAATGAAATAACACTATCTAAGAGATGTGAGACATTTAAACGAAAATTTTACTGAGAAATGATATTCTTTTAGTAGTCAGAGGACAACGTATCAGACGGTACATCTCATTCTTTACTTTCTTTCCATAGAGACCTGAGACCTAGAGTTTTGTAAAGTCAAAACCTTAATTTACAAAGTTAGTACTTGATAAGAAATACTTAAGAATATAAAAAAACATCACAATGAAGTATACAGTGGTTAGAAACGTTGTAACTTGGAGGCTTATCAGTCAGTGCACCTTGATGGATTGCAATGCATACTGTTTTCAATTATTGTGGACATCTTTAGTATAAATAGCTAATAAAATACAGGTTCATGTTCCCAACACTTGGCCAGTTTTTACGTGATTCCAGTAATACCTTACTATTTTTGTAGATGACTCATCAGTGTCTAAAAACTCACTTTCACCAGCCCTATTGAGATATTTTTTAATGTTCTACACTCCATAGTCACATTGAAATAAATCCCTTATAAACACCAGAACATAAGTAGCGCTTTAGAAACTTTTTGGTTGCGAGAAAAATGAGTAGCAATGCAATACAGACGACCATCTGTGTACTACCAAATTCAGAAGACAAGTCGCCATAAGCTCTGACTCGACTAGTAGTGTTCCAGTAAAGAGCCTTCACAAGGTTTATGTACTTTTAAGATACACCTTAAAATGACGGACACTGCTACAGAACCTCTCGGTCTACAGAGTCAAATGTTGATTTCAAGTTAAGAAAGACCACAATTGTCAGACGCCGGTAAGCATACTTGTGTTCTAAGATCTGGATAATGGCGAATATGTGGTTAATGCAGCCATGACCAGGTCTGAAGCTAGCCTGATTTTCCGTGTTTGCAGTTCACGAGTCTTTATTAGGCGTCCGATAATTATTGAGGTTAGTATTTTAGATGCTATATTGGACAAAATAATCCCACCATGGTTACCACAGGATGATTTTGACCCCTTCTTATGCATTGGGACAATAAAAGATTGTGACCAGTCAGATAGGATTACGTCCAACCCCCAGATTTGAGCTAAAATATTGGTCAATCTAATCGCTGAAATTGGACAACCATCCTTAAAGACCTCTGGAGTCAATCCATCTGAACCAGCTTCCCTTCCTCATTCCAGATTAGCTGTAGCCTTTGGAACTTCAGCTAAAGTCGGGAGACTTACTTCAATGTTCCATTCAGGCTGTCTGGGAATGGTGGGTAGTTGTATAGTAGCTGAAGGCCAGTTGAACTGCACCTTAAAGTGTTCCGCTCGTCGTTCTAAACGTCTGGGCTGAGAGCAGATAAGTGTCGTCTTTCTCCGAGATCGTCTCACACTTGACTTCTTAATTCCGGTTTCTTTTATTATTTTGAAGAGCTGTCTAGTTTTACCTATAACTGCTGCCTTTTCCATCTCTTTCGCTTTCGTTAGCCTCCATTGCGCACTAACTTTTAGTTAACCAAGATCTGGTTTCTTTTCGTTCTTCATTGTGTTCGGAGCCTGATGGGATGAGTTTACGAGAGTCTATCAGTGTAATACATGTTACAGAAATCCACTAGCTCTTCTTAACCATTTGGGTTCAAATCACTAACAGATGTCATTGCTATTTTCACAACTGTTCGTATATCTTTCTAAGCAACATCTGGGTCAACCTCGTTTTCACAACTACCTAGGTGTCACCTCAGGTGTTCCTTAAATCTACTTTTGGTTTTCTCGTCACTGAGTTCAACTCTAATGCGTTTTCTTAATCTGGCTTTTCTGAGCCCAGGTAGACGCAAGCAAATTCGTGCTCGCATTACAGTATGACCAGAGTCTAAACAAGTACTCCAGAATGAGAGATAGTCTTCTATTGAGCCTCTACAACGATGACTGTTGGCAATATGGTCTACTTCAGTCCATTGTTAGTTTGGTGAAGGGGGTCGCCATGTTAGACGATGCCTCTCCTAATGCTTAAAATTGGTGCTTGTTAAAAATAAACGATCGTCTGGGCACAGTTGCAGTGGACAGTCACCATTATTTGTTCGCTGAGCCAGAATACAAAACTACCCACCTAAATGTCTTTCCATCTGGTTTAATCTACCTACTCGGGCATTAAAGTCACCTACTACGAGTACTATGTCTGTGTGTTTAGATTTTTGAGGAACTTCAAGAAGCTCTCTGTAAAATTCATCCTTCACTTCGTCCGGGTTACAGTCAGTGAGAGCGTAGGCAGAACTGAAGAAGACGCAACGCCACGTGCCCCCATCCCTCCGAGTTCTTACGGAGCCGTTTAGCCGAACAGCGTATAGGCGACTGTTAACGCCAATCTATTCTAACAGTGCCTCTTCTGCCTTCATACATAGTGCTATGCCTACACCCGTCAGTCCATGAGAACTAGCCATCAGATCGCCAGATAAACGGAGGGTGAATCTGGTAGGCTCTCTATTTTGGCGAGGTGAGGTCAAGTCAATGACCACATTAGCATCCCGTATACGTATTTTGGAGACACACAATACATCAATCGTACGAGATTCTAGGTTCTTAGACAAGGAGGCCTGCTGGCCGGTTTGACACAGGGTACGTACATTGAAGGCCCCAATGTGTAGTTTGGAGCCAGGTTTCTGTAAACTTGAGAGAGTACTTTGCGCACTAGAATCGTTGGCCGTGGTGACACTTGAGGAGGAATTTTTAAGTTCAAAGTCGAGGTAGGAGAAATAATAGGAACCGATGAGGAAGATTGATTATGAATACAGTGGTCTTGAGTGCTGTCAGAGGTATGAGAGCGGTTTTTACTTCCCGGTTGCACACACAGTTGAAGGATTCTTCTGGAGGTACCTGACAAAGAAAACTGGGTTAGAGTTGGTCTTAGTGACCTGGAGCTTGCCCGCAGTGTCCAAGGGACAACTGTACGAGGCAGGTCACACAACACCTTTTTGTGAGTAAGTTTCGTGTTAGCTCAGCGGGATGATAATGCTAAATTGTCATATTTCTTAGTATAAATAAAATAAAAATATATGAGGTAACTAAGAATACAAGAGACTGAGTCGTTAAAAGATTATTGTTCCTTTTACGTTTTCTAAACTTTGGAATGAAACGTGAGGAGGGACAATTAATTATCTAGGTACCGAACATGTCGTAATGTTGCCATTACAGTATTGCTTTCAATATCCACGAATTTAGCTTCAATTTGCAAAAGACAAGTGGCCAGGTAGCTTGTGTTGATCCTGACAATGGCGGTCTCTCAGGTGACTCAACTTTTTTTGGAGAGTCGACGGATGAAGTCTCAACGACGTGCTGATTTAATGAATTCCACTCGTTGATGATTCGTAGGAAAATCGATAGTCAGCTGACAAGTAACTTGTCCTGGGCTTGTGAACTTTTTAAGAGTGCCCTAGTAAACTCTCAAATTTGGAAGACGAGAAAAATGAGGGCACGCCAGACGCGAATTTATCACCAAGTAATTCGAAATCTGTGATCAAGTTCCCTCTGGTTCTTCAGTATGTCATTAGTAATAGGTTTAGTTTAGTCAAGCTGTTATCATGCAGGAGCTTTGCCATTCCGGGAATCAGCTTAACTGCGGTTCTTTGAACCTTCTTCGAAAGTTCTCTGCCCTTTTTGAGCAGGGGCTAGCCGTTTGTACGCAGTACTCGAGCATAGGAGCTCGAACACTGCACACAACGTCAAAAAAGCTTAAGCGTCAACATGGATAAGGGCTTTACGTATTGATCATAGGGTTCCAAAACCTTTGTGGCTATTGCACGGCAGTGTGCGATAGTGTTTAGGTCTTGGCTAACGACGACTCCTATGTGAACAACAGGTAGCTCAATATTATTTCCCATGTATTTATCCGCATCTTGATCACCAGTATGCATCACGATACACTTAGAAGCATTTATCGACAGCCGCTAACTTTGAGACCATTCAGATAATTTCTCCAGGTCATTTTGAATTTCTAAGCTATTAACTTTAATTCTTATGGCTCTCTATACCTTGACATCGTCAGCATATAGCAGAACCAATGATGAGAGAGGACGAGGGAAGTCATTTGCATATAAGAAGAATAACACTGGCTCCAAAACTTCACCCTGAGGCACTCCGCCAAGCATAGTTTCCCAGCTGGACAACTTGGGATTCACCCGTACTCTTGGTTGGCGCCCAACTAGGAAGTCTTTTATCCACATCAAGAGGTTGCCTCTAATCCCGATATTTCCTAAATTTTATAGCAGCCGGTTGTGAGGAACTTTGTGAAAAGATGTGCTGAAGTCATTGTAGCCTACGTTTATAGGTAACTTCCGAATAATCTTTTCTAAAACTTTAACAACCACTCTCATCAGGCTAACAGGTCGGTAGTTCTCATGTTTATGCTTCGTACCTATTTTGAAGGCAGGGCCGTCCTGAACCATGGTGGGAAGTTTCTCGGAACCTTTGGTTTGGTCCGAGGGATGCGGAGTGCAGTGACCTTTAAGTACAAAGTTCCAAAAACATCCCAAGCTCTTTCAATTGGGGATTTTATCTCTATTGTCCAACCTACTGAGGATTCAGAGTGTATGATATCTTTTATATTTTCTTTTCAGACGTTAGGTCTGGGTTGGGTTGACATGTGCTCACTCACGACAACACGACAGCTACCCCCCTCGTTTACGCTTCTGGAATTTATTCGCGCGCTTTTAAAAAGGAAAGCTTAGTCCTAAAGAGATTTGCACTTCTCATACTTTTATTGTGTCCTTACACAACAAAAGTACCATTTCTGGTCTAAAGGATCTATTCTGAGCTATACGATTGGTAGACTACTTATTTTCGAGTTTCACCCAATTTAATAATAAATTGTGGTTTTGCCTTAGCTTACTACTCGGTTTTTTTTTCCAGTTTTTCACGTAAAGGCTTGTTCAGTTTTTATCATCAGTTTTTATCCGTTTTTGCCCGTCTTTAGTGCGCTTTTAGTGTATTTTTGAACGGTCTTATGCTTTTGCTAGCACCTATAATACAGCCCACGTCAATACAGTCATGAAAAATTCATGCAAACGACCTGGATGCTGTTTTGCTGTTACATCTGACATGCAGTGCGACAACTGCAAAGGTTGGTTCCATGAAGCGTACACAGATCTCACAGCAACTGCTTACAACAGACTCAGCAAGTCGGATCATAAGTGGGTATGTGTTACGTGCAACACGGATGCTGTAGTCTTGCTGAGTAACATCATTGTCCTGTTGACAGGTCTGCGGAATAAGTTGTCAGCAAACTTGGAAAAAGACAGTCATAAAACGGGTAGACAAACAAGGGCGTGCAACGGAAACAAGAATAGGGATGTCGACAGGTATACTATCGATGGAACACGCATTAGCACTAGTGATGACATGATGAAACTCAGCACCACCACTACGCTGACGGTAATGGAATTCCTGAGCAAGCTGGGGTCTCCCAGCCCAGGGTCCTTGAATGCAATAGTGATTTCCATAAACTCTGTAGGTGGTTGGACCCACGTTAACAGAGCCAAAGAAGACCAGGCGTCACCATCTAAGCTGAACATCCCAAGTGTTTTTCGGAAATCATCTGGTGAGTTGCTCGCACAGTCTACCCCGAGAATGTCCGTCCGATCATCAAAGAGCTTAGTATTAGGAAACGTGCTTCGACCACCAAACAACAAGATGCTGAACCCGAACTCCCTGGAAGACCCGGGAAAACAATAACGGTTGGTGATGACTCTCTCATAAACATGAACCTCAAAGACAACCCTGACCTTCCTCTCAGTTTGCAGGTCAGAAATGACAGAATGCTCTGGGGAGAATTGAACAAGAAGATTGAACTTCCAAGAATAGAGCCTTTGACGGTCACACGGCCCACTCAGGGAAAGAAATCTAAGCATCAAAATCACCCAATGCTACTTCGTGTAACACTTAAGAATTCTATCGACGTAGATGATGTCCTGCTAGCTAGTTATTTATTGAAATCAGATAGGAATGTAAGAATACTGCCTGACATACCGTATTCTGAGCGCAATCTCATCCGGAACATCCCCAAAGAAACTCGCTATCACTTTTTCCGCGGGAGGAATATAATCGTGCAAGGTATACCGGAAAATACGGATCCTACTCAATCAAAGACTAACATCAGGGAATGGAAATTCATCAAACAGTCCTTGAGGCTCAAAAACATACTGACTCAACATGTGACGAGACCAGCCAAGAAGGACGGTGATTCTAGACCCCGGCTAATGAGGATTACTTTCCCATCCTCCCATATGGCGGCTGCAACTCTGGAAGCATTTTGTGCCAACAGACGTCGGTTGCCAACTGGATTCCATCTGCACTCGAATAGGTCACATGGTGCCAGGATCAAGCACAAAGGCAAGTCGGAGCTGACCAATACACTTGTGGACTGTCTTGATCATAAAAAACATGTAAAGAACAGAGCCTTCCAACTCGGCAAACCTTATACAGGTAGGTTACTTGTCCATTCACGTAAGGCTCATACAGACAAACAGGAAGAAGCTCACGCGTTTCAAATTGAAAGCATAAACTGCTTATACATGAACGCAGCGAGTCTACCAAACAAAATGGACGAGCTACGTTACCTTAGCAATGCTAATAAGGCTCATCTGATAAGAATATCCGAAATTGGGATATCTTCTCAGTTTACGGACCAGGAGCTAGCAATACCTGAGATGATACGAAATTGTGAAGTCGGCAACTCGTTGGAGAAACAGTCAGATATCATCGCTCTTAGACTGTGTGTTTACAAACGAAGAATTTCTAGTTGACAACCTCACAATCCTGGATCCCCTGAGGAAGAGCGATCGTCCCGTTATATCCTTCAGTTTTGTCAGCAAAACTGAGCTAAAATACCCCACTAACAATATGCGCTGGAATTTCAAACGGTCGAATGTGTCAGCTCTACGAAACTATCTACAACAGGTGGGTTGGGATGTTCACCCTCAAATCCATGTGGATACTCATTGAGACTTTTTACTGCACACGCTCTCATGTGCTACAACGCAGTTTCTCAGACGGTCCACAAAAGCTACAAGCAACCTACAATCGTCAAGAACCACACTCTTCGCCTGCTAAGCCGAAAAGACACTGTTGGGCAGAACACAAACCAACTGACAATAATGGAGCGTACATGCAACGCAAACATATAGGGAACATATGCACGAAGGCTGTGAGAGAAGACAGGCTTCAGTACCAGATAAAGCTTATGGATAAATTTGTCTCCGATCCGAAAAGCTAACGCTGTTATGCAGCCTCTCTTGGTCAAGACAAAACTGGAGTTTCCCAACTGCTAGGTCCTAATGGCCCAGCCAATAGCGATGGCGACGCCGCCAACCTTTTGGCTGAACAATACTCTCGGACATTTCAACCGACCCACATCAACCATACTGATAACAGCTTCATGTGCAACTTCACGGGACTTTCCGCAGTGAACCTGAGCGCTGACTTGGTGTTCCGGAAACTGCAGCACCTAAGAAAAGACACTTCTCCTTGCCCAGATATGTTCCATTCCGTCGCACTGAGGGAAGCAGCCTCAATCCTGGCGACGCCGCTTAGCGTGATGTTCTCACACTTGCTAAGCCGAAGCAAACTACCGCAAAATTGGAAACTGGCTCACATAACACCAATTTTCAAAGGTAGTCGACACAGAGAACCTTCAAGTTAACGGCTGGTGGCTGTTCTCTCTATACCTTCAAAAATCATGGAGTCCCTGATATGCGATGGTATACATGGCTATTTACTGTCCTTAAATTTCTTCTCACCCCAACAGCATGTTTTCAGGAAGGGTTACTCTTGCATAGCCAACCTGCTGACTGCAGTGGACATATGGACGAGTATCCTTGATGGCAAGGGGAAGGCTGATATAATTTACCTTGATTTCTCAAAAGCTTTTGATAGGGTCAACCACATATGTCTTATCAATAAGCTCAAAAGATTGGATATCAGACAACCTCTAATTGATTGGCCCACTTCATATCTGAAAAATCGACATTTAGGGTCACGGTTAACTTCACTTTATCTCAGGCTATGGAATGTCCTAGTGGGGTCCCCTGGGGCTCAGTACTAGGACGTCTTCTCTTCTTGATTTATAT